GACATACAGGGCGGTATTTGCCTCCCAGCAGCGGTGTTCAAAGTTTTGCTTCCAGTTACGTTTGATTTGTAGGGTATTTGACCACGGTCACGATAGCAAGTTTCATACCAAGTGTATTCAGCCACGAAAAGCAGCTTCTCATTTGTGTGACAACATCAAGGCTCACGCCACAAATCGGAGGAGAAGCTCAGTCAAATACTAACATATTGTGTAAGCGCCAATTTATTATTATTGAGGAGTGCCTCTGTTCATCGGCGTAGCCAGAATGAAATTTAGGGGGAGGGGGTTCTCGACCCTATTAAGCTGGCATTTCAGGGAAATATTTTATATATATATAAGGAAAATTTTAAAGTTAGGGGGGAGCACCCCCCGGCCCCTACCTGGCCACGCCCATGCCTCTGGTCACATGTTTAGCTATGGATCCGTCCCCTAGCTCTGACATAAAAGTTCGCCTATGTTTCATATTAAGTAAACAACTCACATCTCGCTTAAATGATCGAGGCACCAAAGTGGAAGATCATAGATATGAGAATATTTCGTAAGTATTCACACTACGTCCGAATATGCATATCACAAAAACTTGTTATTCAAATTAAGTATATTGATGAAAGCGATCTTGAAAATGATTGGAACAACAATGTCACGTTATTTTATCAAATGATTTATTTCGCGTATAGTTTCTGCAATTAACTTTTTGCATCTATTTGCATTGATTCACTGCTCACATCAAAGTAATTATGTGTGCAAACTTTTAAAAATAGGCAAAAAACAATACAGTCATATATGGACACATATACATACATATAGTATGTAATTCGTAGCAGTTAAATGATCATAATAAACACTAGCCACTCGGGCGCACGTTCTGCGATTTCAGACATTGCAAGATCTAACTATTCAAGACGCTTAAACTCGATAGCGCCATGGGGTGCATTAATTTGTTGGCTATTGTCTGTGATGAGTGTTGATTTTTTCTCATAACTTTTGTTATTTATTTGCTGATCTTTTCCTTTGTTCATGTTGCCGTTGTTGTTGCGCTTATGTATTATTTAATGCACGAATGTGCGTTGCATATCAAATGAATATTGACGTACATACTCGTAGTTTAGGCCATTGTTGAGACGCTTAACAACTCAATGATTGTGGCTTTAACACTTATGAATGTATATTTTGTATTTATGTACATACATATGTATGTCTTTGAAGTGAAGTAGGAAGCACCTCAGCTGAGCGGCTCAGATGTGAAGCTTAATGAGCGCCGGACTGTGTATGGAGCTGTTCATTGTGTATTGTTAATGAAAAACAGAGCTGTAACAACTTTATGTGTGGATTTATTGAAAGTCTTGTGCATGGCACTGTGTGGGCAGTACTTTAAATAAATAGCATTAATATAAAGCGAACACTGATCGGTGGAGCTAGAACTAATAATTTTTGTCGGACAAAATAAAAAGTTTTTGAAACCCCAATTTCAAAATATTCGCATTTCGAAACCAATTTGCCAATAAGGCTTTTCCCTTAAGCTTAGAATACAACTCTCAAGAAAACCCTCAAGAAATATTTTTGCATTTTTTCTGCTCTTGAAAAAGTACTTTGCCGTTGCTGTAAATTTGCTTGAAGACATTTTTGTTTTCGTGAGAGCTGCCAATGATATACGAAATTTTGATATTTGATTTGAAACTTTTTCTTAGCTTCAAGCTCGAACAACTGGAACACTTTAATCTCAAACGTATTTTCCTTAGAAATTTTTGACAATTCAATAGAAATTTCGGCATTGACGAGCTTTTCGAAGTTTTTTCAGGTTTGAAGGAGAAAACCTAATTTTTTCTGCTCTTGAAAAAGTACTTTGCCGTTGCTGTAAATTTGCTTGAAGACGTTTTGGTTTTCGTGAGAGCTGCCAATGATATACGAAATTTTGATATTTGATTTGAAACTTTTTCTTAGCTTTAAGCTCGAACAACTGGAACACTTTAATCTCAAAAGTATTTTCCTTAGAAATTTTTGACAATTCAATAGAAATTTCGGCATTGACGAGCTTTTCGAAGTTTTTTTCAGGTTTGAAGGAGAAAACCTAAAAAGCTTTGTAAGCGTTTAAATTTGTTGTGAACTCGTTCACGCTTTGTCCATTTCAATGCCTTTTTTTGAAGCCAACCACTTTGGCATTAAGTGTGTTGTAATTATTTTGATTGCTTTTCAAGCAGAGAACTTTTAAATGAGATCATTATGATTGATGATAATGACAGCCTGGCACATGCACATAAATGGATGAATCACAAAAAGTTTTGCAGATTTTTCATGACTTCGTTGTGATCAGCGCAATCACAACAAACATTAATTAATATTAGGTATTTCTTTACAGCAGATCACAGCATCTTTCGCTTAATTTGTCGTGAAAAATTTGCAAAAATGTTTGTTTAATAAACAGAGGAAATCAATTAACTGGATTTTTGACCGAGTTTTGATTTTTATAATTTTTTCCTGGCTGTATTACGTATTTTTTCCATAAAAAAAATTCGAAAATGCGTGAAAAAAATTGCCAGCGATCGGTTTTGACTGTTTTCTTTTATTTGTTTATTCTTTATCAAATTTTTATAAAAGTCTAACAAAAACCACATAAATCCAAACTTCAAACCTTGTGCAAAAATTACAAAAATTCAACAAATTTTTACCGAAATTTCAAACTTGTTGATGTTTTAGAAAAATTTTAGGCACGTATTTGAAGTGGCTAAAAACGGCAATTTTTTGTTTTTGTTCTTTGTATGTGTTTCTCGAAAACCCAATTTGATATACACATTGCGCTTGGCTTGCATTCGAAAACTATTTTTGCAAATTTTGTTCACATTTTACTCCGAAATGTCAAATTTTGTTCAGCTATTTTGACATAATAGCGGCTTAAATCAAAAACAAAATACATACAGGCAGTTTGTAGTTTTTGCTTTGATGCTTTCACCTTTTCTGTGTGCCTTGTCTGGAAGCAAAATTTGTTGAAATTGTTTACGTTGTTGCAGAGTAGTATAATCAAAATTTTTAATTAATACATATTTTAAAAAAATATTGCAACAAAGATGCTAATTAGGAACTACACACATTTTTAATTATGCTTATTTATTTATTCATAAAAAGTCCTTGAGCAAAACAGCATTGAAGGCTTACTGCAAAATATCAAAATATTCAATGATAAATTAATTTAACCATTTTTTTTGTGAGATATGAGTTGGATGTTTTTACTTTCTGTTAATGATCAATGATTAATTTTTGGATTGCGGAGTTCAGTAATCATTGTTTAAGCGCCTTGTTTCGAAAACAAAAATGCCAAAGCTGACGGCATCTAAGCGGCTTAGGGAATTAGTCATTTTTTAATCAGCCGCCGGCAGCAAGCAACTTCATAAATAAGTATGTGAAATATCAGACGTGGATCTTAAAAACCCGTTTAAAGGTCAACATTTTTAATTTTTTTCAATCAGCAAGTGTGGTTATGTTCATCGATATTGGCATGAGACTAAACGCTTCACTTCTTGAAGAAAACGGCAAGACTAATATGAGAATAACATCTCTTAATCCCACAGTGCTTCATTGTTTATTTTCTTTATAAAAATTTTTAAAGCATGCACATCCGCTATGAATATAAGGCCTAAAATAATTTCGACCTCATGATAATTAAATGACATGGAGCCAGATGTGCGTCACACATAAATTTTTATTGACTTTGGACTCTATCGATTCGTGTGAAGTTATGTTTTGCTTTGAAAAATTAAATTTGTTAATTGCAAAAATTCGACAAAATTTTTCCTTCCAATAATATATCATATTTATCAGATTTCAAGTCAAAAATTGGTCGGATTTGAAATTTAAACTAATTCCAACTCATGTAGCGATCCCTAAAAATATCTGTCTGGGCAGCTTTTCCTGAAGGCTGTCGCTTTTGGAGTAGGACGATTTTTTCTCAGCTAACGGGGCTTTCATTTCGATCCCGGTTTCCTCTACAACCAAATCAAAGGCGACTTATAAATGCAGAGTTCTTAACCATCTCAGGACAATAAGCTTATTTATAAAATCGTGATTTGAATTGTATATTTTGGTTCATCGAAGGCGCATTCTGATACATATAAATAATAAATGGCATACATATGTTAAAAAAACTAAAAAACAAATTTTATTCCCAATCTGGTTTCTAAAAGATTTTGAATCAAACTCATAATTTATTTCTAGAAAAATAATTTTTTTCAAAAATAAAAATTATATTTTACCTAACATGAGTTTTTCATAAAAAGCTACTTTTTCCAAAAATGTTTACCTTAAATATATTTTTATTTATTTTTATTCCCAAAAACGATTTTTTTCGAAAGAAATTAATTCTTGGCATTTTTCCCCAAAAAAACCTCTGTTGTAATCAAATCGATGGTAATTTCTTTTCTAATTCGTATTAAAATATTTTTTCGAAATTGTGGGGTTTTCGTTAAAAACAATCTCTTGATTAAAAAATAAAATTTCTTAAAAATTTTGTTTCTAAGCAAATAAAATTTTCAACTTTTTTGAATTTTATGATAAATTTTTCTAATTTTGATAAAAATATATTTTAATGTAATTTCATAATAAAAATAGGTAAATGGATATGAGGCATATTCTCAAAATAGAAAAAAATAATACTACTAAAACACATAAATTTCTTGTTTGTCTTGAAAGGCTTAAAATTCCATCTACATCCACCTCTCCATAGAACTAATTTAATTTGCTATCCAGTCATCAGAGATGGGTTCTTGAGGTTCTCAAGCGAGGCATGACTCCCAGTCCTAAAAGAATAAAAAAAAATAATATCTATGTATCTCGATTATCTGAAGCAATCGGACTTTAAATAGCGTACGACGTCGGTTTCCAGAAAGGCAAAACTCAATGGGCCCATACGATCTGTTCGCAAATCGAAGACCTGGCGTGTCAAGGTCAATTAAATTCTTGGCTCTCTAGAGCATCTAAATATGTATGGTTAAGAAACTTGAGGTACTTACATATGTGTTTGAAGTTATCCATCACTAATCACAAGCCTCACACCATTTCTCAAGCACTTTTCTTTCACTCATATACATATGTACACATGTATAAAGTAGCTTTGACCTACCAGCGATCACTTTGAAAATCAATTTATTTAATCCCCGATAACCTACAAATTGCTTGTCAACACCAATCAAAAAATAAATAATGATAAACTATTACTAGATATGTATGTATGTATGTACGTAGGTACATACAGCATTAATAAAACAAGCAAAAGAAGTTATAATCATAAATATAATCTTTTCGAAAAGTGAAGTAGTAATTGAAATAGACAGCTGCAGAGAAAGTTGGGCGCATCATTTGGCTACATACGAGTAGATCGCAAGCCGGTTTCCTAGTATCGTAGTGAACATAAATCAAATATTTTGTCTTTTCTATAATTGTTGTGCATTTATAAGACAAAAGCAGCAGTTCAAAGCGCTTCCCACAACTAAGAGCCAACAAAACGTTTGTCCAACCGCTAAGCCGCAGCAGCAGCACCAGCAGCAAAAAGACACTCATAAATCAATGTAATGACCACACCTTATGACGGATCATATAAAAATATTTTATGACCACTTAAAGTGATATCTATCGCATGTGGAGAGTTTAATAAAAATTATTACAGCAATACCCAAGCTTAAAAAACGGCAAAAAAAACTATAAGGAAACATTGGTTGTAAGGAGCAAGAAAGCAAATCGCTCATTAGGTTTTTTATGAATTGTACAAAAACGGGGGTTTTATGTGAGCATAGACGTGTGGAGGGCCTTGGGTAAATTTCAAACAAATACTATTTCAAAGCTTAGAAAAAAATCTTATAAAATCATGCGCAGCTGTTAAATCGAGTTTCTTTTGTTTTCGCTAACAACTTAAAAAACAGCAAACTAAGCTCTAACGTAAGCTCTTCTGCAGCAGTATGACACAAAAACGTAATTACTTAAACGTAAAAATTAACAAAAAAGCAAGTAGGAAGCAAATTTGGTGCGTTGAGTGTTGCGAAAAAAGTAGCTCATGTATAAATATTAAGAAACGGGCAAGCAAATCGATTACTCATGCTGCGCATGTGCAGCAGTCAACCAACAAGTAACAGCGAAAAAACCATTTCAAACACAACAAACAGTTAACCGCCAAATTAAAATGGCAAATGGCAGCAGTGCAGGCAAAGTTAGACGGCAAAAGAGATACAAATTATGAAAAATAAAAACAAAATAAATAAATAAATACTCAAGAAATATAAAAGTTAAAAGAAAAAGAAAAAGATGCTCAACATTGGACTTTGACCAACATCCAGTTCTGTTTCGTGTATTCTTGTTTTTTAGTTTTTCTTTTGCGCTTTCGTTGGTTATATACATACACTAGGCGACAAATGAAAGTGTTCACTTTGTTCTAATACGTATAATATTCACAATTATTTTTATGAGAAATTTTTTGCATTAATTATTTGTGAAAATATAGTTCATTCTTTAAGATAAACCATATAAATCAAAGTTTCACACTTTATATAAAGTTCACAAAATTGCAAAAGATTCAAAATTTTCAACTTTTTATTCACATTCTCTAAAATTTTGGAGTATACAATTGTGTAGCCCATTAAATTTTAGTCCAACAAAGTGCAGATTTCAAACGGCTAAAAAAAAATTCCCGTTGATTTTTGGGATTTTTTTTCTAGTGATGTATTTTTGAACTTTTATCTATATAAGCATGAATTTCTTATGAAGTAAAATGCGAAAGACAGTTAGACAGTAGCAAAAATGTTTTCATGAAAATAATTGTAACATTATATTAGGAAAAGGTGAATACTTTCATGTGGCGTTCCATACCACCGAGTTGAGTAAAATGAGTACTTAACAAACTTAAAAATTGTTTAAAATTTTCTTGGATTTGCTTTTAATATGCAGTTTGGTAGCCATTAAATTTTAAATAAAGCGCAAGTTTAAAGCGATTGCGAAACCGGCGTTATTTTTTTTAATTTTCTTTGAAAACGGTTTTGCGCATTTTCTTCCATAAAAAAAGTGCAAAAAGCTGTCAGCATAAAAAATATTACAAATCAAGGCAATTTATATACTCAAGATTCTAAAAAACATTGAAAAAATTTGTTAATTTGTTATGTACTCGTTTTACTCAACTTCGGAGTAAAAAAAAATTCATAACTCAAATTATTGTAGAGCGCACCCCATAATACTACACTTAAATATTAAATCGATTTGTTTTTGTTTTTGTGCTGTAACATTTTTAAAAATGCATTCATCAAGCTCAAATTTCATATTTATTTGTTAATTATGTTTATGGATCCACCCTAAAAATTAGAAACAAATCAAACACATCAAGTGTAAACCCCGTCCGATTTAGTATGGAACAACCCATAGACATATGTATGCATGTGTGTATGTACGTATTTATATATATCGCCGTTTAAAGTACAAAACCGCGTATAAACAAAACGCAAAACCGCGTATGTGAATTATGTAAATTATCTTCTAGAGAGTACAAAAAAAAAATATTTCAAAATGGTTCTCTTTTTTATAAAGCAATCGCATTTCTGGCTGGTATATTTCAGGACGAATGGATAAGGATTGAGCCAAGAGCTGGGGTGAGCAAATCCAATTTTTGGCAGCCAATGTCAGTTACGCGGTTTTGCAGAATGACGATACGCGGTTTTGTATTTGAAATGAGAACCACTTTGAAATATGAGTGATTTTACGCTCTAGAAAATAATTTCTACAAGTTCACATACGCGGTTTTGCATTTTGCTGATACGCGGTTTTGCACTTTAAACGACGGTATATTTCTTTTTAGATTAAGCTAAACCTATACAAAAACCAACAGCCCCGGCATGGAGTGGTGACGTACATATGTATGTACATATGTATATTTGCAAGCATTCAGCGTGAAAGTAATTAATTATTTTTGCGAAATTCAAACAAATCTCACTGATCCATGTTGGCAATCATACTTTTTACTTTATTTTGTCTGCTGCTGCTGCTGGTTCATGCTTCATACGAAAGTTTCGCAATTCGTGCTGAGTAATGCGCAACCACAAAAAATAAAAAATAAAAACGGAAATAATACGCAGAATTTTACGTATGTATACATACATATTTCTTTTTTTTTGTTATTTCCTTTTCCTTAGAGCGTTTTGTAGCGGTTTTGATTTATTTATATTTTTGAGCTACTAATCCGCTGCAAAAATTAACCATTATTAAGCATAACCAACGACAGCGAAAACAAGCAAAACTTTTGTGGGTCAACAGGGTCTTAGACACCTACGGTGGCTTAAATGTGTGAAATTTAGAGTTTCATTAGGTCAGGTGCCATAAATCAGTGATAATAAGAGATTTGCCAAAGCAATGCGAAATTTGTTAATGAATGATACACTGGACCTAAAAGTAGGTAAGCACATATTATTACATATGTATATATCTATTTACATACTGGATCTACAAACCCCGATAAGACTAATTCTCTTCACCAAAAAACAAAGGTTCCCGCTAATTTTCAAAGGTGTGGAATTCCTTTGAAGGAGAATGTTAAATATCTAGAACTCATATTAGATAGGAAGCTTACGTGGAAGCCTAATACAGAAGACAGAGTGAAGAAGGCCAACGTTGCATTATACACATGCAAGCAAGCGGTCGGTATCAAATAGGGGTTAAGACCTCGCATTACTTATTGGCTTTGCACTTCTGTAGTTAGGCCTAGACTAGGTTAGTTACCTAAAACTGTTGAGTAAGGTCCAAAGAACCTCGTTTTAATGCATATCTGGCGCTTTAAGGACCACCGCAAACAAAGCGCTATGAGTGATAATAAGTCTACCTGCTGTAAATCTGATAGGAAAACACGCTTCGGCGCTCAGACTGAAAAGTATGACGCTGTGGAAGGATCGGCAGTTTGACCAGGCTTCTATACTCTACGCCTTGGATAGTTGTGACACCTTGGGATAGTAGTTTGACCACCTTTGACAGACTCTCCACTACGAAAATCCCGTCAAGAAGAGAGTGACAAATACCGAGACCATGGATGGATCAATAGAGTTGGCTATGGAGTTTTCTCTGTAGAATTAGGATTGGAATTATCCATATTAATTCCGGACCACTGCAGTGTTTATCAGGCAGAAATTCTAGCCATAAAGCAGGTGGTTGTGTACCTCACTAAACACGCCGTAACGAAAACAAGGGAAAATTTCTTGTCGGATGGCCAGGCGGCCATCAAATAAATGAATGCGGTAATGACAAGACCAAAGGTTGCAAAGGAATGCCTGACAGATTAAATGAAATTAACACCGTCTTGATGGCCAGCCTCATATGGGCGTCATATCCAAGATGACAATAGGTCACGGCTGAATAAGCGCACTTGTAGAAAATCTAGGCTACTATGACCGCAAACATGATATTTCGATGGTCATGGCCTGTGCAACCGGCCATTGGTTATTTATTTGTTAGGAATTCTTATACTTTGTAGCAGTTGCAGAGACGAGAAAGAGGAAGAGGAAGAAACAGTCGAACACTTCTTCTGTAGCTGCCCAGGTTTAGCTAAGCAGCACGGAACTATCCGGTGTAAAAATAAAACCAATTCTACGCTTCATAAGAGCTTCAAAAGTTGCTATGCAGAATAGTCACTGAGGTTCCCGTGTCTCACAGTGGTATCACAATGGACATGCAAGGTCTAAGTGAGTTTTGGTCATTGGACCGACTGCCACATAAACCTAACCTAACCTAACCTACCGCCAAGTATGTTTTAAAAATTTGTCGAAAATATCCATAAAACAATCCAAAGTTTGAAGAGTTTCCAAGGGGATATTTTAGTTTCTTAAAAAAAAAAAATAATTTGAAATGTTTTTTACTTACGTTTACATTTAAAAACGGATAGCCTTGAAGCTATTTAATAGAAAAATAAAGGAAAGATATCTTTCATAGAATTTTCGGCGAACCTAGTTTAAATGATTGGGGTGCTTATTTTGAAATTTTAAGATCTTTTAATCAACTATATGCAACTATAAG